TTAAATTGTTATGTCACCAAGGCATCCACTGAGTTATCCTTTCCTCTTTCTTACACACTGAAGGTCCATCTCAGCATCTTAGGCTGGTGGCTCACCTTCCATGGATTTTAGTAACAAGTCCTTTCCATGCACTTTCACCCACTTCCTTGGCCACAACTAAACCTTCATGTAAAAGCACCCAGATCTAGTCAGAACCCTTCTCACATCAGACCTGCCCTGGACATCTCCACTGGAGTTGCAAAATAAAGCATATTATTTTTCTCTATCCCTCCTTTTAAGTTCCCAAGTTGGATTAATGGATCATCCAGTTAACATAGACTAGAAACCTAAGAGTCACCTTTAATTCTGGCCACTTACTCACTACCCTAAGTGCCTCTTGAAGATGCTATTTCCTTTCTGTTTTATTGGCGTAGCCACGGCCCAGGACATCATTATTACCCACCTAGACGAGTGAGCTTATACTGTAGTGGGAGTCCCTGCCAATCATCTCGTCCCCCTCAACGAATCTATTTTCAATTATCTTCCTTAAATACAAATTTGAACCCCTCATAGTTCAAGCTCTCTGGACTTCTTACCTGGATTAAACAGCCTCCTAGCTGAAATGTTGGTAAACTTTTTCTGTAAACGGCCACGCAGTAAATATTTTAGGCTTTGAGGACCACATTCAACTCTGCCATGAGAGTCCCATACATAATACATAAAGGGTAATCGTGGCTGTCTCTGATAAAATTTTATTAAAGTGTAATTTTTATGTGTCACAAAATATTATTTTTCTTTTTTTTCCCCCAACCATTTAAAAACATAAAAACCACTTTTAGCTCATGCATCATATAAAAACAGACAACAGGCCCTATCTGGCCAACAGGCTGCAACTGCAGACTCTGCCCTAACTGGTCTTCCTGTCTCTGCCATCGCCTCTCCAAGTTCGTTCTCCCCACTGCTGATTTAGGTTCCCAGTTCAAAAAGTTAATCATGTTAACAGCCTGCTTTTAACACATCAGTAGTAACTCATTACTCCCAGAATGGCCAACACTCCAGAAAATGCCCACAAGGTCCTTCCTCTGGTCCCTGCTTCCCTTTCCAGGATCTCCCTCCAAATACCTAACCTGATTGTAGAGTTTATATTCTCACTCATCTTCATGTCTTTTCTTATGTTGTTCTCTTTACCTAGGGTACCACCACACCTTTTTCCGCTTTGAGAACTCCTACTCATGAACTCATTAATCAGAATAGCTACCAAATATCTCCTCCTCCAGAAAACTTTCCCTGACAGTCATCCTCACCTTCAATGCAGAAAGAGCCAGTTCTCCTTCCTACGTGCTCCTGCAGTAATCTTTGTTTTTATCATTGCACCATTACCTCACACTCTGTCATAACTGCATATATAGATCTGGCTCCTTGGCAGGAGGTGAGCAACAGGAACTGAGTCCTATATTTTTTCTCTGCTCAGGGCCAAGCAATACACTTAAAAGATAGTAGGTGCTCCATAAATATTAGTTGACTAAGTGAATGCTATACTTACTAACTGGGTCCTTCAATAGATGCTGAGTTTCTATTTCTACTTTTAAGTCCAATTAGACAATAAAGGGGAGCCCAAAAAGTGATAGGTTATTTTTCTTTCAGATTAGTCTACAGATCGATATTCTGGCCTTTAAATTTCCTTTGCCTTGGAAGATCTGAATCTTTATTTCATCATTATTTTACATGTTTTTCATATTCATTTGCAAACTTTGTTTAGCATATGCCATTCGAAATGTTTAAGACTACATGAAGAGCTACCTATGTGAGATTTATTTATTTCAGCTGGCCTACACCAAAAAAAAAAAAGACATAACGTTTCTCAGCCACACCTGAATATACTGAATTAATAAAGAATGGTCAGGGGAAGCAAACTCTAAAAAACCCCAAAAAAGTAAATCAGAAATATTTAGCCCAACAACCACGTCACACTTCCAGTGCAAAAGAGAGATGCATAGTCCCTTTATTTCATTTTAAATTGTCATCTTTAAATTTCTAAATGTAGATTTTATAAAACATAAGCATAAACTAAGTATAAAATGCTTACAAAAGAGTACTGCACTTAAAAAATAGGTAATTAAGTTTTGTTTTCTATAAAACTAGGTTTAAATTTTTATAGACTTGGTGTAAATAGAGCTCAATAGAAAAAGCTATGGAACCACACAAAACTGTTCCTCTTAAGAACAAAGGAATTAGTTACCACTGGCCCATTTTCAGCAGTTGCTGAATCTTAATAAGCTCTACTTGCAAGAAATTGATCTTGTCAGACAGTACAAATTGATACTGCACAGGAAAACTCTCTATAGGACTTTGACTTCAGAAATTAACTCTCTGGATGAGACAGAATGGCAAAGGGGCAAAGCAGCATTAATATTTATTTACTGAAGCTCAGCCACACTGAGACTTTGAAAGCTGTCCTATTTCTGCGGTTTAGTGGTGCTTAGCACACAAATGGCTGGTTCTCTATGGAAATCTGACAGAAGAACAACTATGAACAATGATGAAGTTAAATTCTGGAACTTCTAAGATTAAAAAACCATAGGAGCTACTTTCACATTACATCCTCAGTTATACAAGGACAGTACTTTAAGTGGGCATTAAAAGAACAGTTACTTTGCAGTATTAAGCAGTTGTTTCTCATCAAAGTGTTTTATCTATTGAGATTTTTCCAGATAACACACATGTATAAATGACCTATTTTCTTTCTTCCTTTCTCTTTCTCTTTTTCTTCCTTCTGTTTTTCTTTCATTGTTTAAAAGGAAAAAGTTGGCAAACCATTTGGAATATTATCATAACAAAATGTTTTTGACAAAGTTTGATTTTAACAGAACTAGAGGCATCTTAACACTAACCCAAAACTTTGGGAGGTTCACCAACCTCTAGAATATTTTTTTCTCCAAACGCAGGCTGTTCAAGTGGTGCTTTTCTCCATCTGTTGTCACACCGTGCTCAGAATTACATTGTCATATTTAATGTAAGAGGGATCAGTCCCCTTTCATAGTTTAAATTCGACGTATTACTATGATTAGAAGACCATGTTTTTCTAATTTTTGAACCAAACCAAATCTCATAAACTTATGTGTGTATTTATACAAAGTTCTCCATGAAAATTGGAAAAACTCTAAGAACTGAACAAACCCAAAGACTTAATCTGAAAAATGAAGAACTGTACTAAAACACAGAGTGAGAAAAAACCACTTATATGGTAATGTGAAATATGTACAATCTCTATTTGAATTTTTCTTGATTTATGTGTATTTATGTGTATGTGTGTGTATATTTTCAATACAGCAAATTACACAACCTTGCTACCTAAAATGCCTTATTGTAATTTAGGGCTGAGCCTAGTTTTACATAAATGATGACCACATCCCAGTATCTCATGACAGAAACAATACAATTTGAAAGCACGGTGGTCCAAGCATGGTTATAATAGTTTGAACACAAGCAGTGTCAGTCGGCTTCATGTCCAAGTTTCACCCCTCCTGGGGACTCCGTTCCTTACTGAGTACCAGTTCCACTCAATTTGCTTCTTAGGATGTTTCTACTTTGTCTCTTTCATCACTAACAGCATCTGATTCTTTTCCTAAATATATTCCTCAGATCTTTCAGTTCAACATTTTTATCAGACATAGAATTAACAGGAGAGGTAGGGTGGTGGTAGGGTAAATATGTCACTTGGCTTATATTGATAGAGAGTCAACTAAATATTTGAGCACTGTAGTTGAAAGGTTTTGTAATATATCAGTAATTCCCTGCCTCACTTATCATTCACATGTCTGGGTGTTTTGCTTACCACATCTCCACTTTTCTTAATATGCCTGAAAGCTGTGTGTGAATTGAATGAGTAAGACTAACTCTAACAACAGTTTGAAAGCCGGTGGCAAACACCAGGGGGGTGAAATCAGAGCTGTGGCATGTAAGGGACTAGGGAGTACCTGGTGAGGTGTAGTCGGTGCTCAGATTCACCCAGCAGCTCTGTCAGTGTCAGGCTCTCCTCTCTGGCCCGGGCTGCCTTCTGCAGCTCCTGTTCCAAACGCTGCTTGCTTTCACTCAGTTCTAATTTCAATTTCTCTATTTCCTTAGATAGAGAGAAGAGAGAAAAAACATATCCACTTAACTTATTATCTTGTTTTTATTTTTGCCATGACTTTAAATGAAATGAGACATTATTAGAAAATTTAGGCTAGCATCCATTTTATGACAAAGGGAGTTAACACAGCCAAAAATGCACATTAGTGAGGTTTTCTTGGATCGTGAGATGAAGACTGATTTTAAAAATGAAGTGAGTTAATAAGAGTACTCAAAATGGATAATTTGTACTTTCATTCTTAAGGCTTAATCTCTTAAAAATAAAAATTAACTCAAAATGTCACTACTTTGAAAATATAACATTTTGTCTGTGAGATCTGATCAGACACATGCAGTGACTCACATCAAATATGTGAGTCTTTATCCTAAAAGGTATATTTATGGTTTTATTTAACACAAGCAGTGTCAGTCGGCTTCATGTCCAAGTTTCACCCCTCCTGGGGACTCCGTTCCTTACTGAGTACCAGTTCCACTCAATTTGCTTCTTAGGATGTTTCTACTTTGTCTCTTTCATCACTAACAGCATCTGATTCTTTTCCTAAATATATTCCTCAGATCTTTCAGTTCAACATTTTTATCAGACATAGAATTAACAGGAGAGGTAGGGTGGTGGTAGGGTAAATATGTCACTTGGCTTATATTGATAGAGAGTCAACTAAATATTTGAGCACTGTAGTTGAAAGGTTTTGTAATATATCAGTAATTCCCTGCCTCACTTATCATTCACATGTCTGGGTGTTTTGCTTACCACATCTCCACTTTTCTTAATATGCCTGAAAGCTGTGTGTGAATTGAATGAGTAAGACTAACTCTAACAACAGTTTGAAAGCCAGTGGCAAACACCAGGGGGGTGAAATCAGAGCTGTGGCATGTAAGGGACTAGGGAGTACCTGGTGAGGTGTAGTCGGTGCTCAGATTCACCCAGCAGCTCTGTCAGTGTCAGGCTCTCCTCTCTGGCCCGGGCTGCCTTCTGCAGCTCCTGTTCCAAACGCTGCTTGCTTTCACTCAGTTCTAATTTCAATTTCTCTATTTCCTTAGATAGAGAGAAGAGAGAAAAAACATATCCACTTAACTTATTATCTTGTTTTTATTTTTGCCATGACTTTAAATGAAATGAGACATTATTAGAAAATTTAGGCTAGCATCCATTTTATGACAAAGGGAGTTAACACAGCCAAAAATGCACATTAGTGAGGTTTTCTTGGATCGTGAGATGAAGACTGATTTTAAAAATGAAGTGAGTTAATAAGAGTACTCAAAATGGATAATTTGTACTTTCATTCTTAAGGCTTAATCTCTTAAAAATAAAAATTAACTCAAAATGTCACTACTTTGAAAATATAACATTTTGTCTGTGAGATCTGATCAGACACATGCAGTGACTCACATCAAATATGTGAGTCTTTATCCTAAAAGGTATATTTATGGTTTTATTTGGATGTTTTGAAAACCAAATTAAAGGGTAAAATAATTTAAGACATCCTTTAGAAAAATGTGACATAAAAGAAGGCATTGTTATCCAAACATTTGGAAAAAATAATTTAAGAAAAATATAGCATGAGAACCTTTAAGCATTTAGAGTGAATGAGATTTCTGAGCTAAAATATTATTACCTGAAAATTGCATTTTAAAAAGGCAACAAAAGCACTCTAATTAATAAATATGAATCTAAAATATGAAAATTTATGGTAGTTTATTCTTTGGTGTCAGGGTGAAATTATTCTTATCTTATTTACTCAAACTATTTCAAAGCAAAGAACCTTATATAGAACATAGTAAAATTTATATATTAAGGTAGTAATATTTATTTATCATAGGACATCTATAAAAAATTTAAAAAAAATAGATATCAGGCTATTAAAACAAGAAAAAGAGGAAAGGGAAAATAAAAGATAGAAACATTTCAAATTCAACATAAAGAAAGAAGCAATTTTAATACACAAAAATACAGTCTCCTTTTGGAAAGCAAAATCACATCTAAACTTAGTATTTAAGTATATTTCAAATTTCCTCACATCATTACTCAATATTCTGAACAATCTCCAACTATATGTAATACATCAGGCAAGATAAACTAAATAGTTCATTTTGTTAAAATTTATTATGCTACAAATATTCAGTTTATCCTCATCCAAACTGCATTACCAATAATATAGTAAGACAACTTATTGCAAATTCTAAAATATTATTTTATTTTTAAAACCTTACATAATAATGAGTATATCACTTTCATCACGAGTAGATTTCCTATTATCTTTCAGATTAGAATAGTCAATGAAACTGATTTATTTCTTCAAAGTATTTTAAATTGTTAAAGTTATACCAATATATTTCTAATCTCTTAAATGTAACTAAAAAGATGGAAGAACACAATAGAAAATCTGTTGTTTTGTTTGACATTTATGAAATTAACAAAAGCAAAGAAGTAGAGAATTGAAAGTGTATGTTGACCTTAAAATTTCAAAAATATATTCATTAATTTTTTTAGACATGCTATATGCAAAAAACTATAGTAAATATTATGGGGGACTCAGAGTTTCCATCTCTACACTCCAGAGTTAATAATTAAATTGGGTAAATGAATATAAACACACAAAGAGACTATCAAAATATGAAGCATATAAAAACAACAAATGAGTAGTAGATAAAGTCTGTGCCTCAGTAGGCCAGAGGGAGGATATAGTAACATGGGCATGAAAAGCGGGAAGGATGATAAGGGTACATAAACTCAAACAATAATAGATTAGACCATATTATGAAAGGTATTGAACTCCAGATTGATAAAGTTGTATTTTTCTCATTGTAATGGGTTATCTCTCATAAATGAAATATGAGAGAAGCTGAGCTTAAAACAACCGAATCAACATGTATGACCAATTTAAGATGGCAGAGAGTGGTGGAAGGAAGAGCATGAAGAGATAGTTGTAATTTTCCAAACATGAGTAGAGACACTTAAGATAGAAATACAAAGAGAACATAGTAAATATATGGAAATAAAAGGAGAGCTTTAGGGAGACATCAAAGATGAACTACAGAACTTTGAATTGAGAGCATACAAAAGAATGACAGATGTAGAAAATGTAAAAAAATTCGAACTTTCTTAAAAAGAAAAGATTTTCTTTTATATATTTTCAACACTTTTTATAAGCATTGTACAACAATAACAATGTATGTAACCTTACATTGGTAGTTAGGCTTTAAATATAAATCAGTTGCTTTCTTACTTTCATGTAATAAAGTCAGAGGCTGCACTGAAAGCCAGTCAAGCATAGAGATAAAGAACATGGGTCCAAGCGTCAACACAAATCCATTTCAGGCACAGTTCTGGTACTTTCTGGCTCTGTGACTTTGGACAAGTCACTCAATGTTATGCAATGTCTGCACTGTGGGAGTGATAACTGTAGTCAGTCCCTAACGTGATTGTGAAGATTGAATGAGATGAGTACTTAGCAATGTCTTCCACATTGTGCTGAGTAAGACACCTAGTATCATTATTACTACTGATATTTTTCTCTACTTGTCTTTCAAGAACACCAAGTGACAAGTAGGAAAAATGGCCAAAGGATATATGGCTGGCTGTCCCTGAGAACTAAAGAGTTCTTGATTTAATCCAATGAAATTCCCCCACAAAGCACTGTTTTGGTGAAAACAGAACAAAACCTTACATAATTTAAACATGCAAAAAGTGTTTTTGTTAGGAAGATGGAAAATTACTTTCCACTTATGATTATTTCGCCAGAAAAAAAAAGGGCTTACTGGTGCAGATAAATCAAAACCAACAAATAATCTAACCAGCTGGACCAGGCCTCAACACTGACTCCCTGAGTCAGGAAAATCTGCCACAGCACCAACTCCAACAGTTAGAAGAGGAATCTCGTGCCAGAAATGCCACGCTCCCACTGGCATGATAACCCCATGCCTCACCCAACTAGGTCAGGGCTGCTTTGCTGGCTGTATATAGTGGTTCAGGATGAAAGACCAAGAATCATAGGCCAATTGTACATTATTCTCCAAGTACATTATTAACCTGCAATGTCTACAATGCAGTTGATGTAGCCATCTTTTGGCTAACTGGACAAAGACAAGTCCAGATAGTTTTACACTTTATAAAAAAGATGGAATAGAGAAAGGGAGACTTGTTACTGTTCATTTATAATCTTCTACACAACAGAAAATTTTTTTTGTCCTAATCATGGACATATGTAACTTTATTTCTATTAAATATTCTTATCAAAGTAATGTACTTGAGTTAAATAGTACTTAACTGCTCATAATGAAGAAGGGCAGGGCCCATTCTACACCTCATCCATCTTCAAGCTTAAGTTTCAATGGTACACACTATCCACTCTTCTGATACTTATCTTCATATTTTTATATGACATAACTTATAATGCTATTGTTTGATTTTGTAATATTAGGCATTATCTTTGACTTCTTATGTTAAAAAAAAGTAACAATTTAGGCCTCTTATATCACTCTCCATATAACAATTTTGGTTAAATCATTAGTAAGTCTTTTACATTATGATGACTATGGAAATATTGTTCACTACTCAGACAAGCATTGTTTTAATTTTTGTGTACAGCATTTTATTATTTCTGGAATTAACTGCCTAGTTTTTAATAGTTTATTTTTCTAGTAACTGACATTTTACCCAAATGTTTAAACAGATCTGTCAAATAACCACCAATAATACTTTTCCAAATAGTGAAACACATCAGACAAATGATCAGTTCCTTTTAAATATTTTTCCTAGATATATCCTTCTTGGTTCCTTAGGTCTGGCCTGGTTGATACCTTTCTTGGGTTAAGCCCTCCCCATGCTCCTATTGGAGTTCCCTGTTTTCTGGGTTTTAAGTCATCCTGGTTTTCAGTTTACTCCCCTTTTTAAATTTTTAAATTTTCTTTCAATGTTTACTTATTTTTTGTCAATTTTATAATGCACATGGTTTAAAGAGGTCAGCAGAGCCCTGAAGCAGCAGTCCCCATTCCCAATGAGAGAGGCAACCATCTTTAACTTTTTTAGCTGAGTCTTGAAATCTAATTCTGTATCTCAAAATAGCATGCTTATTTGGTATCTTCTTGATTTTTCCTTTCTAGGTAGCATTCAGAGAAGATAACTTCAGCTCTCTTTGAACTTCCAACACACACCAACACCATTTTCATTTTTCACATCCCTTCAATATAGACATGCATAATTTTATTAAATACATTTTTTTCATTGAAGCACATTCTCTAGGTAGCTTTCAAAAGAAAGGCTACATGAATAATACATTTTTAAAAAGTGTTTGTATGCCTGAAAATGCTGTTATTCTATGCATACATTCAACAGTTTGGCTAGGTATAAAAATCTATGTTGAGGGGGCTACTCTGCTGTCTTCAAGATTCTTATAATCAAAAAGCCCTATACCATTCTGATTCCTAATACTTAGTCTATGCTTTGCCCTTTTGTTTCTGAAATAAATTTCTGGACTTTGGAATGGGCCTTTTTTTCCTTTGTGCTGGGTTTTCAGTGGGCCCTTTTCACTCTGGAGGTTTGCATTCTTTAGCATGGGGAGGTTTTCTTATATTTAGTATATTTTGATGCCATACATTTTAATATTTGCTTTTCCTGGAACTCCTGGACATTGGTTTTTGGCTCTGTTGGATTGATCATCTAATTTTCTTACATTTTCTATCTCTTTATCTTCTGATTCTAAGTAATGGAAAATTCCCTTGACTTCATTTTCCAAAATTTCTAGTGAATTTAAAAAAAGATTTCTATCACATTTTTCATTTCCAGAAGCTATTTCTTGTTTTAACTGTTTTACATAGCATGCTATTTTTATCTTATGGATATGGTACCTTATCTATTAGAATATTATAGTATTATAAATATTTCTCCCTGGTTTATTACATATTGCCTCAATTTCCCTTTTCCTGTTTATCTGTTTTTAGACATTTCCTCATGTTAGAAGCTTTCCTCAAATACATGGCAATACTTGGCTGCCCTTTCATATTCAAGAATGAAGTAGCTAACAAAAATGGTTATTG